ACCATCGGAGGTACCACAGGGGAAACAAGCCCCGCCCTCTTATGGGTTTGTTCTTTTTGTTTATGCTGAAGAATTAGGAATTCTAGTCTAAGGATCGGGCATAAAGTCGGAGGAGGAGTCGGCCACATCTCTCATCCTCTCCCTCTTCGTCATCAGCGGATAGCTCTCATCGACTATGTGATCTCAGACATCAACAACTAGAAACTCCGAACCTCTCAAATTAATTCATAGTGATGTGTGTGACTCAAACTGAGTTCTCACCCGAGGGGGTAGGAGATATTTTGAGATATTTATAGATGATCACTCCAGATTTTCTCAAGACTAAGGATGGAGTTTTAGATAGGTTTAAGGTGTACAAAGCTGAATCTGAGAACTAACTTGACAGAAAGATCAAGATTCTAAGATATGATCGGAGGGGGGGGATATACCTCAAATGATATGACTGAATATTGCCAAGAACACGATATTATTCATGAGGTAACTGTTCCCTATACACCACAGTCTAACGGGGTAGTTGAACATAAGAAGAGAACCCTAATGAACATGGTGAACTGTATGTTACTCAGTTCAGGAGCACCTAAAAATCTTTAGGGTGAAGCTCTTCTTTCTGCCTGCTTCATTCTTAATAGAATTCCCCACAAACATTCTGATATAACCCCTTATGAATATTGGAAGGGGTAACTCCTAATCTGAACTTCTTTGGGTTTGGGGTTGCTTGGTTAAGGTAACTATTCCGAACCTAAGAAGAGAAAAATTGGTTCTAAGACTGTAGATATTATTTTTATTAGATATGTATTAGATTGCAATGTTAATAAATTTCTAGTCATTAACTCTAAAATCAGTAACATATCCAACAACACTATCATTGAAGCTAGAGATGCAGTCTATTTTGAAAACATATTTCCTTTCAAATCTAAAATCTCAGAAAATCCTAGGTCATCTCTTCCTTCTGATCTACCATCTTTTAGTTCTTCTCAGCCTCTTGATATTGAACCTCAAAGAAATAAAAAAGGTAGAATTCAGAAGGACTTTGGAGAAGACTTCTTTATCTTTCTTGTTGAAGGTGATCCAAGCTCATTCAAAGAAGCAATGGATTCACCTGAATCTCCTTTCTGAAAAGAAGCCATTGATAATGAGATTAAATCTATCATAGAAAATCATACTTGGATGCTCACCGATTTACCTCCAGGTTGTAAACTTGTTGGTTGTAAGTGGATATTCAAGAAGAAACTTAGAGCCGATGGTTCCATTGATAAATATAAAGCTAGATTAGTGGCTAAAGGCTATACTCAGCAAAAATGTATTGATTATTTTGATACCTATTCTCTTGTAGCCCGAATCTCAACTATCCGAGTATTATTAACCTTTGCTGCTATCCATAAGCTGATCATACATCAGATGGATGTCAAGACTGCTTTTCTGAATAGTGATTTAGATGAAGAAATCTATATGCACCAACCTGAAGGCTTCATTGCTAAGTGTTAGGAAAATAAAGCCTGCAAACTTATTAAATCTTTGTATGGTTTTAAACAAGCTCCTAAACAATGGCACCAGAAATTTAACAGAGTCATTGCACAGTTTGGCTTCACTGTAAATGAACATGATAAGTGTGTTTATTCAAAAGTGATAAACAATGACTATGTCATCCTCAAACTTTGACATGAAAGACTTAGGTCTTGCCGACATGATACTTGGAATGAAAATCACTAGAGACACTAGAGGAATATCCTTGAGTCTTTCTCAAAGTATTGAGAAAATGCTAATCAAATTCAATTTTTATGACTCTAAACATGTCTCCACACCTTATGATTCTTCTATATCTTTGAAGAAGAATGAAGGTGAACCTGTCTCCCAGCTGATGTATTCTCAGCTGATTGGATCTCTCCTATACATATCTAACCGGACTAGACCCGATATAGCTTATGTTGTAGGAAGACTGAGCTGGTATACCAGTAACCCTAGCAAAGATCATTAGTCTGCCTTAGAAAGAGTATTTAAATACTTAAAAGGCACAGTTGACTATTGCTTGACTTACATAGGGTACCCTGATGCTATAGAAGGATATAGTGACGCTAACTGGGTCACAGATTCTAACAATGTAAAGTCTACATCTGGATATGTATTACTTTTTGGTGGTGCTGCTGTATCTTGGAAATCATGTAAGCAAACAGTAATTGTCGGGAGCACTATGGAATCTGAATTGATTGCTCTTGATACCACTTGCACAGAAGCAGAATGGTTAAAATATCTACTCTCTTAACTTCCTTTGGTCCCTAAACCCTCTCCTCCAATTTCTATTCATTCTGATTCTAGATCCACCAAGAGCTTCTAAAACAAGTGCATGTAAATAAAAAACTGAACAGGAATATTCAAATAAGATATAAATCTATACAACGCATGCCATGCAAAGTTATGATCTTAGACTTTAAAAAGTCTGAGAAGAATCTTGCTGACCCTTTGACTAAGGGTTTATCTAGGAGTGTGGTTCTGGATTCATCGAGGGAGATGGGGTTAAGCCCATAAGTGAGGTCACTAACAATGGTAACCCAACTTTTATTTGGAGACTTAGTCCCAATGTAGGTTCAATGTGGTAGAAACAAGCTGGACCCTCATGTTGAGTTTTTTAATTTTTCTCGATAAAAGATTAGCTACAAAAGGATTTTTTTTTAGTGAATGTGTCACAGCTGATTACTCCTTTTTTTACATTTTAAAGATTGGCATTCTATGTTAAGGTACTGCTGGCAACCATTTTTTTGTTGTTTTTGTTCATGATATGCTTTTTTTTTCTGTTTGTGTCCGGTTCACTTTGTCTTCATGCCTGCATCTTTTACTCCTCTCTCCCGAGCAGCGTAGGGGATCGGATTGCCGTGCGGGGGGCTTGACTTCCAAGGGGAGTGGCTAACCCTCCGTGTTGCTTTCGTCTCTTGTTCTGCTCGGGCTAGTTCTTAGGTCCTACCTTTCTTTCCCTTTAAATGCTTTTCGTCACTTTTCTGCCTTTCAGCCGCTTTAATGGAAGGTTCGTCTCGTTAGGCAGGACATCTTTCTTGTTGAGCCAGGCCCCTTCTTTTATGTGGGCTCTCACTCCCTTTATCTTCTTTCTTTTCATTCCTGGGGAAGGATTTCTCGTATGCGAGCATTGCCTACCTTCCTCCCATCCTCCCGTTCTGTTGCCGAAAGATATGTCGACGAGTGTAGGTTTTCCTCCATAATCTAGTATAGATTATCTTTGATCTATTAAGGGCGATGATTATAACCGTATGAACTAGTCCTTAAGGATGTATTAGGGTGAAACTATAGCTCGTTTAGTCGTTTAGGGAATGAATACAAACTGAATGGGTGCTTATTTCTCTTTAGGGGGCTGGTTCACAGGTACCGAACAGCCTATCTAAGAGGAGATTTGTGGTAGGGACACTCGTGTGGAGTATCGACCTAGATATATTCATATATCATTATGTAGCATTTGCTACTATCCTTTCTCTATGGTGATGATGCTCTTATGATACAGCTAGTTAGGCTGAGTTTTACTCTTAATAAGTCCAACGCGTGTATTGCGGAGGGTATGATATCCAGTTGTAGTACCCTTGGAGGATTTATCTACGTGAGAGGAACTGTGATGGTCGCGGTTGGGGGGAGCTGGGCTAACCCCTAGAAACTCTCATGAGTCGGTTTATTGTGAGCATGACGTTTAACGCTCGCCCGCTTTGCTCAATAGATGAAGACGTATTTTGTGTGTTTTCGTCAATACCTGGTACAATAGACCTAATTCAAAGCCTAGTCCATTATGTTCCTCAGGTGGCGATGAACTCATTAATGAAAGGTTCAAAGCCGAAAGCTATCTCTCCCAAATTCATGATAAGAAAGGTTGCCCAACCTATATTTGTTTTATGATTTATTGATTTATTTATTGTTTTTTGAGTTTTCAGTCAATATTGCCTTGGGGGGGGGCTGTTGGCTATGTTGTTCATGAAAAGGCAATTTTGCCTTTGTGAATAGTCCCACATGGAATAGTGATGGGAATAGTAAGGGGTTTATATTGGAACACCTCTTATTGGGCTTTGAGTAGTGTTTTAGGTTTTGTATTGTGTGGGCTTTACATAACACACACGCGTCGCGCGCGCCGCGCCACGCCGCACATGTACACAATTTTTTGGTTCTCAAAACGTTAGTTTTTTTAGTTTTGACTCGGTCATGAGAACGTGTGTAACGGCTCTGAGAACATGCGCGATATCGGGGTAACGGGTGCACGAGATGTGGAGAACATTCACGTCGATCCTGCAATGGCTACTGCTTCCGACTCCTATAAATAGAGGCTTCCCAGTTCGGAAAAATACACATAAAACAATCTCTTCTCTCCTTTTCTCAAACGAGAGCTTCTCCCTCCTCCTCTCTCAAAATTGTTGGATACTGTTAATTTTCTTTTGGGCAATTTTCTTCATCTGAGCAGAAGCTCTGCCACTCTCGCCCGAGTACAGAGGTCGGCCGAATTCCGGGGTTTTTTACCGCTAGGAGAGAGAGGACCATCTGCGTCAGGGCGATAGGCGAGTCTTCAATATTCTAAGGCAATGTTTACACGACTGCTCTCGATCAGGCCAGAATTTCTGATTCTTTATTTTCGGATTTTTATGCTAATATTTTTCAATTTTGACAGCAATTTTCGCCAGTGAAAATTATGTTTCACGCTTTTAGGTTTTTTTTAACATTGAACATTGGAGTGGGTTTTCCAAGTACTCCAAAACTTCAGGGGTGGATTTTGTAGCATTTCAAAGGTTATGAAGTGTTATCTGACAAATGCCAAAACTTTAAGGGGGATTTTCTGAAATTTATCCTTGCATCCTTTTTAGTTCTTTCAATTTGGGACTACGGCTAGAGATTGAGCAAACCCTGAGAAGCGCGACACAAGAACGAGTCGCAAACATCACAATAAATCATTAATTCTTCCTCATCAACTAACCCAAACTACAACATGTTCCCAATCCACAGCCGCACCATCACAAATAACACTAAATCAAACACGTACCCTCACGGTACAGAGCTCCAATACCGTCAGTGCGGGGGTTGGTGAGGGCGTCGTGGAGGCTCAGGTTCTTGCCGCCGAAGGCCGCACTGCAGGCTGCGCCGAAGGATTTGCTGATGGAGCCCCAGTATCCGACGACGGACCAGATGGCATCGGGGTGAGAGGTCCAGTAGCTGCACAATTAATAGAGGGTTAGGCAATAACATGTGTGATACATTTTTTTGGAGTACGAACTCTTAACAAAATTTGGTCAGTTGGCAAGTTGAGGACTAATCCGGTAACCAGCTTAATCCGGGTTACCTCTACATCACGAGGGTTAAAAATAATTTTCGCAAAAAATCTACCTAACGAAAGATGGTTAAATCCTGTTTCAGTTGTCAAGTTGCCAAATAGGCCCTAAAGGGTCAGAACCCCTGCTCGCAAGCGTTCTGAGATGATGCGTGTCCTAAATTCTGGGCATGATTCGATAAATTAGAAGTTGTGTCGGGTTAGTAACGTATCATAACATAAAAAATACACTATAGTTTACGCAGCTCAATATTTTCCAAGTGCTAAAGTCTAAGTCAAGTACAGTACAAGTTCTCATGATTTTGTCATGGTATCACTTGGCATTCAAGGAGGAATTGACAACACCTGCAAGATCCAGGGGCAAACGGCGGAACAGTGCTAGGATCAGGAATGGACGGCGTAGGTGTCACCGGAGTTGTTGGTGTCGGAGTAACCGGGACAGTCGGTGTCGGAGTCACAGGAGGTGTAATGATCGGAGTTGAAGGAGAAGGCTTTACAGGAGTTGGATGGCTCGACGGTGAGGGGTAGTATCCTCCTCCGTGCGAAGGCGTACTCGGCGTCCTTGATGGCGTTGGCTTCACTG